AAATAAGTGAACACATAAGTTGACAACTCCAGGTGATGCCTTATGACTAGTCTGCTTAGTTGTATTCAAACCACCGCAAAGGCTCCTTGCTCGCCCCTAACAGCCAGTCCCGTTACGTTCCGGCACCGCCGTGTCTCCCTTTGTTTTCCCTTGTTTGCTTTCAAATAAAACGAGCCGACTGAAGGTGATAAAAGCGTCAAACTAACATGCCACTTTGGAGAAAACTTTAGTGATCAACTCTTTTATTCCGTTTTTTGTTTTCATATAAAAGAAACTCAATCATCCCAACGTCATCAGCTACTTGGCGTCGTTCATTGAGAACAACGAACTGATCATTGTGCTCGAACTAGCGGATGCCGGGGATCTTTCACACATGATAAGAGTAAGTCCCTGCCCGTGTGATATGCACTTTGTCGTTTCCACTGGGCTTTCCTCACTCCTGTATGAGTTTCGACTTCCAAGCAACCGTGCTTTCAAGATAGAAACGCTGTCGGTACTTTCGGAATGCCCAAAAGCCAAGATGGAGTAAGGCACACAGCAGAAAGTGCCCTTCTTCGGTGGATAAACCCCATACACTCACGCTTTATGCTGGCCAATGTCAGGTCACACAAGTCTCTTGTTCCAAAATTGTTTTGACCACTTAAACTCCTCGTATATGTACAAATAAAAACTTCACTTTACTGCTCTGTATGATAATTCAAACCAATAGGCCGTAGAATCGCTTTCTGAGGTTTGACAACACGTGTACAGGTTGACAGCTGGGCGAAGGACCTTGAATAGACAAAATCCAAGGCTAATTAGGCGCTTTGTGTGAGAGGTAATATGAGGCACGCATGTAGCCAAACGGACAGCAGTTGCATATCTTGTAAAAAAAGAAAGCGTTCAGTTGTAGCACCCTTCCGGTGCCTAGTTGCCATGCCACCCGAAGGAAGCACGAGGGCTAGGATACAGCCAGGTTGCCCAAGCCTAGACAGGGAAAGTCGAGAGGCAGAGGTCGGATTCGAACCACGGACCTTCCGGCTCTAACCCTTTGGGCCATCTCTTCCCCATAGATTGTAAAAAAGACTCAAATCTGAGCTATTGTGGCAACCTTCCGAGTGCACTACTCGTAACACCATTTTGTGCGTGATTAGTTCTGCTGGCTATGAATGACCCATGAATGACTACAATCGGTGAACCAAAAAAAGTGTCCTTGAGACGCTTCCATGCCAATAAGTGATTCCTTCACCCGTGTCTTCAAATTTTTCAGCATTTCAAAAAGCGGAAGCGTCTAATTCCAGAGAAGACAATATGGAAATATTTCGTCCAGATATGCAGTGGTCTGGAGCACATGCACTCCAAGCGCATAATGCATCGGGGTAAGTGCTCTGATATGTTTGCCTACTTTTGGTTTATCAGTAGTCAGAAATTTTCGGTGAAAGGTCCTGGCTCGTCTCGCATGGGTGCGTTGTCCGTTGTCGTTACGCTTGTTGAATATTCGTGCATCTTTAGCAGCTTGACTTACGGTTATCGGGCCGCTGGTTTTCCAAACTACAATGCAACGTTACGCTTATATTCGTGCATCTTTAGCAGCTTGACTTACGGTTATCGGGCCGCTGGTTTTCCAAACTACAATGCAATCTGTGCTTGGTTTTGTATTCCAAAAAATCGACCAAAATTGCTGACTTCACTCCAGGGAAATCTCTGCATGATTCCTGGCTGCTAGGCCTAAGAAACTGAAAGAACCTTGATTTCAGTATTGAACAGCACTGAGAAATCCAAGCTGGTTGTTCGGCGTTTGAGTTTTCCTGCGGGGCCATTTCTCAGATTCGTATCTCCAGTGGCCAGTAGTGTTGTCAGTTTGTAGAGCGCTCGTCTTGTCTTAAGTCCAGTATGGTTGCGTGCCGTCACACTTGGCGCGCTTGCAGTGTTTTTCGAACGAGATACTGGTTATTTTCGAAGTTAATTGATAAACATGAATATGATTTATTACTTCTTGATGCCGGGATAAAGCGGAAGCTTCCAGGAAATACGCTTTAGCCGATGTAGAAGAAACCGCATATGAACAATCAGATTAGGTTTGCTGACGGTGGAAACTCCATCCTGCTACTCGGCTTTTGGGGATTGTCTATCAAACCAGAGGAGGTATTTCTTCTCCCCGGAGTGAGACCTTGAAGTGGTTTTGTTAGCCGCTGTAACATGTCCGACGTTTCAGCTTAACTTGATTTTAGCGTGAGCATCGATTATTGTACCAGAAAGAGTATACCTTTTTCTAACCAAAAGAACAATACAAGTTATTATCTGTTATATCCTAATCTTGTGATACCTCGTACAAAGACAGAACTGAATGAATCAATTTACCCTCCTTCTTGAACAGATATCAAACCCGCCAACGTATTTATCAACGCCCGTGGTCAAGTCAAGCTTGGTGATTTAGGATTGGGTCGATATTTCAGCTCGAAAACGACGGTTGCACATTCACTAGGTGAGTCAAAGATCGAGAAGATTCTTCAAATGGCAAACAGTGTTTTCAACAAAACGAGTTCGGAAAAGTGTTTATTTGCAACCGCAACTGTGCGTTTCGTAGAAATATTCTTCTGGACCTGTAAGAAGTAATAATCAGTTGGTACTTTGGGTTCGATGCGTCTCGTGTCAACTGTTTACGGGTCAGACTTGGAGTAAACGGTTTTTTGTTTTTTTGGTTGACATTCCCTCTCCAGAATATGTTTGAACCACTCAGAGCAATCTGCCAAATGCGGGACAGATTGCTGAGTGTCGGGTTATCTGTCCCTCCCCCGCAAACAATCTGTGACCAGATCAGAGCAAACGTTCCTTAGTGCTGAGAGAAATAAGACGCCGGATCATCAATCAGGGGTGAGAAGCACACTGTTTGTTCAGATTCTTGTCACGACCGGATCGATCGTACTGACACATTGATTCATGGATTATCGTACAGCTGATCTTCATTATAATGGCATCATGGGAAAAGTGTCAGTAAAGGGGTTGAAATTTTGGAAAATTTGGTTCCAAGACAACCGGTTTTGAGATCATTAGGATGTGGGCTTGTAGTGTATTGGGAGTGCCTTCATGTAGGGATCGAACTCGTATTGTTGAAATAGTGGTCTCATTCAGTCTTAATCCATCTGGATCCAGGCTATCTGAAGCAAGTTTACAAAACTGCACGGTATCTTGGATGGATGGTTCTGTTGACTTTGAAAGAACAAAATCCTAAAGAAGTACATAAGGGAGTTTATTGCACCACCGTCAGGTGGTCGAAACAATGCCGTCTTGTTCCTTGACAGGTAGTGAAATTGATAACTTTTGAAACTTTTCCACACATCCAGCTCAATCGCCATTGTGGTATGCTGCCTACCATTTGAGATTCTTTTTTTGCCTGGCAGTACAAATCCGTACCGAATTATTCCAAAGAACTGATGTTTTTGAAGCTAATCAAAGAAATTCCTTTAGTGAAATCTGCTGCCTTGTTTGTTTTTCACGGACTCAGAGGAAAACGTCAAGACAGCGATATAGTGATGATAAGACATGATGAAGTTGGTAGCCGGGCGAACAAGTCATATATATATTCGAATTCGAGCACTTTGCAGTTCCTCAAATCTTTCGAAGTGAGCATGCACACTCACAATAGCTTACCGATTTTTGGCGTACTTGTGCAGTCAGAGCGTTCAGACACTCATTGTTTAGTAGACGAAAGAAAGCAAAGGAGCAGGCAATGTTGAAAGCATTTCACTCTGCTCAAACAGATCACCGCTTCAAGCGGTGAAAGTTTGGATATCGGGATTAGTTTGCCGGACGGTTGAAGAAAGACAAACTACATAAGCCTATATTGCTGTCGATGTAACGGCAGTTTGTGGCATGTCGGCTCAAGATCAGGGTATGATTGGATCCTCAAGGCCATTAGCTTGCAACTCCATACGCTGATATAAACAAAGCTGTCGTTGCTTCAAAGCCCAGCCAACATTGGCGTTTGCATCACACATGGTCAACCACCGTCAGTTCCGATGTTGAATGTCTGGTTATCCCCGGCCTATTCTAATGGAGCCAAGATTGGATCGAAATTTGTAACGTTTTATGCATCCTCAAGCGAGATATGACCGGAGCTAACCACGGGGACTGTTGTCTTTTGGAACATTTTTGTTGCCTTCAATCAAGATGTCCACAGCTACCGTCTCGAGCCACTTTCAAATCCAAGCAGTTGAGGAGGAGGCCTGACTTATCCCCACTACCGCAGTATAACGTTCATGTTGGAACAACCGGAGGTCGGCAGGCTTCGTGTGATGTTCTATGACTGACCTCTTTCTGTCAGACAAAACACCGCCCCTCATAAGGACATGGTAGGTTTTAATACAACAGAATGAAGACAACTACCATCTGATAGGTATACTTTTGACGTTCATTTTGCCTTATTTTCCTTGCAGTCGGAACACCATATTATATGTCCCCGGAACGGATCGATGAGAATGGGTACGATTTCGCTTCGGACATTTGGTCCCTTGGATGTTTACTATACGAGATGGCCGCACTCCAGTCTCCGTTCTACGGCGAACACATGAATCTCTACCTGTTGTGCCGTAAAATTAAAAGCGGGGACTATGCACCACTGCCCGACTCTATCCATTCTCTTGAGGTAAGTAGTTCTGTCACTGGGGTCACCAAAGACTTTGTTACTGATTTCTTGACAAGTAATATCTCCAAGGGACATTTAAGTTTGTCCTCAACATTTCCGGGTCCATTGGTGGATTCATTATGTAAATGGGACTGAAAAGCCGAGAAGCAGTATACTGCTGCTTCCTCCTAGGTGGAACTCATCAGCAGTGCGTGCGTCACGAAGCTCCGCCAGTTCCGAGCGTGTGATTTTACGGTCGAGTGTTCGGTACTTAACAGTCCGTCCACATGCCGCTTTATGACAGCATGAATAGCTCTCACCTATACAGGATACAGCGTTATTCTTAATCCAATCATGGTTTGCGCATCACGTGGTTCCCCGAGTGTCCACGTTTTCAAACTACTAACCGGGGGTTCGCAGATCCCAGAGTTCCTGGAGTTTCGTATCAACAAGGATGAAACGGCTGTACAGTGTTTCATAAGTTTTCAACATCGATTATCTTCGAGACAAAAACCCCATCGAAATTCCCATATATCCTTACACCACCAAAAGTTTCCAACTCTGGACGGCTGATATGCATATGCAACATTTATTCACGTATGGCTCAATATCGATCGGGTCAAGCACCCCATTGGAAAGTTGTTTTCGTGATTGCTATTTTTGGCAATCTATTTATTGGCTAATTCATGTCATTTACTTTGATCAAACAAAATCCATGAAGACCGTTCTGACAAGTGGCGGTAGAAAACGGTTTTCGAAAATTAGTCAGGTGTGGTTCACTCTCAGACCGTCATTCTGAACAATCTGCTATTGAGGATGACATGACATACAATGCCGCCTTCCCAACAGGGTCCTCGTGTTCACGCGATAAGCAAATTGCCAAACAACCTACAATGGACCTGAAAAGTTTGGCTATTCTAGACGTACTATTCCACAACGGGGAACAAGTACGGGCTATATTCGACATGGTAGGGTCGATCCAGGATGCAGACCACCCGCTTCTAGTTCTACTGATTATCTCCGGCGCGCATTTTGCTATAGTCTAATAAAATTGAGCTCAGAAGTTTTCTTATAAAGGGGTAGTTCATGAGTTTTACCGTAAACGTCGAACTCTGCATCGTTTAGTTCAGATACGAACGTAACTGGACTACACAACCGCCAATGGAATAACCGTTCTGGTTGAGTTAGATTTAATTGGTTGTTCTCCACTTGTCCTTGACGGATGAGTTCTATTTTTAGCACCACTTTTTGGCCCGCCTAGAACTTTCCACGTGAGCTTTATGAACAGTCGGCTGCACAGGACACGCATGTACGCGTCAGTGTTCCATCGATCGATCAGCTGATTCGCACGTTCATTGGCTTTATGGTTTGGCTAAATGCATCAGGCTATCAAGCGGCTATTCAGACCCGGTATTAAGAAGGTATCAAGAAAAATGTGATCCGCAACAGCTATTCACTAATAGGAAACCAGTCACTCCATGAAGACTCAGGTCTGCGCCTGTTTTTCCCAGCACACTTTTTCGCGCTCTTCAGACGAAAACGTAATGAGAACTAGGTTTACCTAGCGCGAACAAACTGACAGTACGGTACAATTCTGGACTTTTAGTTTTCGATCTAGCGATCGTTGACCGTTTGCTGAGCTCAGCGATTGACTTGCAAGTGATTCGTCACCAAACGGGAAGACATCATCAGTACACGTTTAAGTGCACTGATAAAATGTTTGTGAATCAATTGTCGGCCGACTTCCGCACTGATCTGAAGTTGCTCACGCGTGCTAACTTAGGAGGTGAAGCGGAGTCAAGGAGAAAAAATACTGTACCACGATGAACGGAGCTGACAAAACTGAATCCAACTGAATTGATAACGCAAGCTTAGGAGAACATCAAGATGTCGATGATTTATGCCAGGTGTATGCAATTTCGAGAGCTAATTGGTTGTAGGTCACATTTCAGTTGGCGTCACAATAGGAGGAGCCAACGCACCATTCAGGTGAATTAAGTCGAACCGCAAAGCAGCATAGATTCCAAACAGACCAATAAACGCACATGCAAACAAGACTTCTAACAACCAGTCGGTTCAGAGTTATAAAGTTCAAACTATACAAACAAGTAAAATTGGATTAGTTACCCACCCAACGGCGCACTGACAATGTCTCCTCGAATGATGACGAATCGTCTGTAAGCTAATAGCCAATTTTTGAGAGCAGATTAACTGCTACCTAATCGACATCTGATTTAGACATTCGGGCTAGCGTTATATTTCATCGGCATGCACAACTAAGGGATGGAAGTCAGACATTCTATTACTAGACAGTGTTCAACTACAGAGATGTGACAATTAGCGGTAGCAATGGGTTCTTACCATACTATTGCGTATACTGTGCGCGATACAGCCATACATATGAGGTGACTGACTAAGCACAACGGAGGACGAAACATGCCTATCGATCTAACGCATACTTCTCCTTTCGGTGCCTTGGGGCCTTACGGAAGGCAAAAATAAATAGACAACGACGTTACCGAATAGCTAAACTGCTAAGTAACAGAGATGCTGACTGTCCTACACATCTGAATTACCAGTCATTGAGTCAGTGAGTCAGTCACACAGATAGATAGATAGACAGACAGACAGACGGATAGACAAACAAACAAACAAACAAACAAACAAACAAACAAACAAACAAACAAACAAACAGACAGATAGAGAGATAGACAGACAGATAGATAGATAGATAGATAGATAGGTAGATAGAAAGATAGATAGATAGACAGACGGTCAGTCAGTCAACCAATCAGTCAGCATGTTGTCAGTCAGCTCGTCAGGCAGTCAACCAGTTAACCAACCAATCCATCGATCAGTCGGCCGGTCAGCCAGTCATTCGTCCAGTTGGTTCGTCAGTAAACTACCCAACCATTCATATCTGAAGAATATCGATGCAATAGGTTTTATTCACCATAACCTTCTCTTGTTTCAAATTTTCACTACCAGCTTCGAAATTTGGTCAAGCAGTGCATTCAGACCAACCCAAAGGATCGTCCCAAGATTAAAGAGGTCCATGAAGTCGCATGCGAAATGTATCAGCGTCTGCATGGGACCCCGGCAACCACTCCAGAAGAAATGGAACGACCTTCTTCCGCGAGAGCAACAGCATTTGGAGCTGCTCCACCGCATTCCCCAATTTGTCCCATCATGGAACCTGCTAGACCCCAGTAGGAATGCTCAAATTGATCAATTACTTGCTGTTTCTTGGTAGTTAGTCTGCCAGTTTTGCTTCTGTATTGGATGGAAAAGGGATAATGCATCAAATGATTTATAAACATACATGAACCATGAGGACAAACGGTTGGAAGCCGTCTAAAGACACACTCCTCAAAAGCACAGAGCCAAGCAAGTAACGTCATATTTGTACGCGATCAGTTCCCATCGTTTTGCTCTGTCAATTCAATTTTCAATTCTATCATTTCCTACTCCACCACCCTACACGTTTGAATAGACTTACAGACTTTCGCAGCTCATGTTTAAACGACCAGAAATCTTTGGAGATTGTAAGACAAAAACGATCTGAAGGAAGTTCTCTTCGTAAAATTCACTTCCAAGCTGCACCCTTGGTGACCCACGGTTTTCTTCATGGTAGCTTCAATAGAAGAAGTAACTTCCGACAATGAAAGGTGTTAAATAAAGATATCTTTTATTTCGAAGCTCCTAAACAGAAGGCGGTGAGTACTCTGTATGGTACGCTATATTCGAAGAAACCCTTAGACGCTCCAAAGGGGGCTACCGGTTAGGAAATAAGGAGACACACGCTGGAGGGTCTCCAAAACCCTGGTCTTCAAATGGCCTGTGAAGAAAACCCTGTCGATCTGAAATATGCAGACGACATCGTTCTCATGTTCGAAGAGGAGCAGAAGCCGCAAGTAATCTTGGATGAACTGACCAAAGTCATCCCGTCCTTTGGCATACACTATGCACCCGCAAAGTGTAAGTTCATGCTCGTGGATGTGCAGTCACTGAACACGCCACTTACAATCCAGAGAGAAGTGATGGAAGTTGTGGAGCGCTTTACGTATCTTGGAAGTTGTATTAGTTCTGA